CGATTTGAACAGCGAGTATATCATAAGCAGTGACCTAAGGTTCAAGCTAAGGCTATGTGTATCGTGTAATCCCTCCAATATTCTATACTTATTAAACATTAGTGACGTCTTGTTTCAACCAAACAAGGAAAATTATAGTCCGGACGAATCGCAATGCTTCCCGAAAAGGACTTGTTTGATCTTCTTTTTAATGAATTGGATCCCAACTACAAATAGTTCTCGATTACAGCAAAAAGTATCAAATTATGATAAGAACATCGAGTCTTGCCCACATCATAACTTAGGGTCAATAAACGATAGTGCGTAGTTTTTGTGCCATAGTTTTTGTCTGAACCCTCTCGCAGCAACTTTTTCATAAAAGAATTTACAACTCCCTCCTGGTGCAATCTTGGAACGATGACTTTCCATCTAAAATTTACAACTTCCTTATGCAGCAGAAATCCCTCAAACTTTCTTTGGCAAAATGATTATACTTATAAAAGAGAGTTGCGAAGGCGTGGGAAGGCGCGCTACGAACAGGATTCCAAGGTGAAATATCAGAATTTTGGGATCAGTTTTGTGAAATGTTAAGATGTGTTCTTATCATGGGGTTACTGTCGGATTTACCCACAAAACCTGGTATCACACTAATAATCTTTTTTCTGAAGAAGATTACTTTTTCCGCAACTGTATTTCGTACTTACCGCTTCAGGTGTGTTGGCGATTGTCTGAAAGTACTCGGCTGGATGGATGTACCGCCCTTGTAGCAGAATAAACTGAAGTAGCACCATTTCAGTAGGAGTGCATTACAACTAGGGTTACCTTGTGGTATTGTAACTGCCTCTTGGCAGTTCTGGCAAGGTTTAGGCGACAGAGGAATACCCTCTCTTCGGGAAAGGACGTTGTCGGTTGAGGTCCACTGCTCAGCTCGGTTTGGATTGTGGGATGATCACGAGGGTCCACGAGATCAAAGATAGAATCGCCTTGACACATTATTTCTTCCTAAAATAGCCATCATTGTGTCCTGATGGTTCTTTTATGTGGAGATAAAGCTTACAATGGAATGTCCAAGATACTCGCTAGCGTTATCCGAAACATGCAATAGCTTCCCACTTCTGTTCAGCATTATTAAGAATCCTCGCAAAGCTTTACAAACATCAAGTCCCTTCGGCAACGGTATGCTATTCTCCGCAATCGTTTTCAGTACTGGAACCACCCAACGATCGCTTACAACAAGCATGGAAATCAAGAAATTCTTACTGTGTTTTTGATAGCGATGCTTCCTGATGTAGATACATCCAAGTGACATAACCTGCAGCTGAAAGAGTCGGTCCTTGATCGACTCTGATAATGGCAGGAGATCTCGTAATCGCTGGATCTCCACATTGATCTGATCTCGACGCTGCTTTGATGCTCCTCGAGTGGACCTGAAAGCAAAATGAAGCTTGCAAGTGATGTAATTAAATTAAGTGACTGAATGAATCGTTTGAGTCTTATAGGCTGACTCAAGTATACCTAGGCAAAGATGTTTATTTTGTTAGTTTTGAAAAAGCTATTATGATGTAAGAATTTTGGCTCCGCTGTGATACTAGGTAACTGACAAGGGAAGGACCCGGAGCAGAAATCGACTTTTTACATAAGTCATATATCAATCGAAAGAGCATCAAACGTTGATTTCAAA